TATGCAACATCATAGTTCATAAATCTGTGGTGGGGAATTTTAAATGTTTTCTTAGTTATTTAAGTTAATCTATAATTGAACTTAGAGTTCACCCAAACCCATAAAAATATTATGGTGGTTTCTCCCACAAAGCAAACATCTACCGGCTTATGATTGATCTGATTTTCCTTTGCAACCCATTGATAATAGTTATAGGGGTTATTACATCTATGAGAAAGGAGAAAGTTGAAATAATTATCAACTCTAAACTACTTTTGTGACTAGCTGCAAGCTACGGTTATTGGTATGTTCAGTCCTTAAATATTTATTATATATTAATGTCTTAATATGAAGGATTCATTTAATTTATAATGCTATCTTTTTTATTTTGTAAATTATGTACTTTTTCAAACCGAGAGATCCATAAACTAAGCTAATTAATGTATTGAAAGAGCCACTCCTAAATATTTTCATTATACGATTCCAACCATGTAGGATAGGTCAAGGTTGCTGCCTGTAGCCAAACAACATGGTTAGCATGAAGATGTGTTTGACCTGCGCAGCAGTAAGTTCTATTTCGCCCATCCTAAGGACTGTATTCTAAAGTTATTATTGGCTTAATTAGGTTGAAATACTTTTGTTCAGGAGGAACATAACTCGTGTCTCTTGTGTCCACTTTATTGTCTATATTTAATTTATAAATATTTATTTCAAACTTGTCAAAACAGACTGTTGTAAGTTTTTGCTGTCTATGATATTTGTTCTAACAAAAGAACACAGTTTGGTATGATATTTGTTTACAATATCAAATGTAAACTGCCTCACAAAGTCAATTGCAAATAAAAGATGAATTGTATGTGAATTGTACAAATATTTGTATACACGTAGATGATTTAGTTTTACTTTTGTTGAAATAATCGTGACGTCATTCTTCATGAAAATGATTCAAGCACAACCCGATGCTTTTGAGAATACAACTTTTTAAAAGTTTTTTTTCAAACAGCTGTCATTCAATATTGAAATAATCAATACACAAAATCATATTATACTATAGTATACATATCATTAAGTACTACGAGTGGTTAGTAGCTTATTATACAGGGTGTCTTGCAACCATATGAACAAACTTTGTCACATTATTCAACATGTCAAAGAAACATAACAATTTAATATAACATGTGTCCTTTCTCATTTCGTTTTCGGTCTTATTTCTATCTATATTTATTTTTCTTGCCATACCTACAGTTTTCTCTATTTAAACAATGTTAAATAAAAATTACCCAACCGCAGCTAACCTGCCGACTAAGCGAATTTCCATTCGTCTGAATTGATTTACAATTAAATCTATTTAAATAACATTAGGTTTAACGAGTACCTAGGTTTGCTGCTACAAAGAAACTAATAAATTGTGGTTTTTGGTAAAATTAATAGCTTAGTATAAAATGAATAAATTTGCCAAGTTTGATCAAAATATATCCATAAACAAGGAAACTACAACATTTTAAAATATTCTACAAAAGAATAACCATTTTAAATTTACATTTTTTTTTTAGTTTCTCCGTTACCAATAACTGGACAATAACACTTTGCTATACTAAATTATTAATTTTTAAGCTCTTTAAAAGGTCTCGAGAAAAATCGGGTAATTTTCTTTTTTGAGGGTAAAAAATGAGAAAAATTACTCGAGTTATCGCGTTTACGGACACATATATGTATATAATTTGAAAGAATGGTGTTTTTGGCATCTCTGGACATCAAAATGAAAAAGTAAATCGGTCCCGGATCTAGGTCCTACCGTGCCACCTATGGTAATAACTACCTTTCTACAGGGAAATTCGCTAAACAAACTACTTCTAACATTGTTTAATTGGAGAAAACTGAAGGTAGAGCAAGAAACAAATTTATTTCTCAGTTATTCTTGGTCAAAACAAAACTAAGCTTATAAGATATCGTTGAAATCTGCATGATGTCTACTAGATTTTAGGACTTGTCTTGGAAAAATTTTGTAAAATTGACGGGTTTCATAGAATTTGGCATCAAATATTTAAAAACCACAATTTTTAAACGGTTCAAGATTTTTTATTCATATTTTGCACAAACATATTGGTTAATAAGATAAACATTTTTACAGAACTTCAACGCTGTAGCTCAAACAGTTAAGTAGTTGAGGATGTTTTTTTTAAACCCCATACACCGAAAAATGAATGAGATAGGACTGATGTTATATTACATTTATTTTTTATTTTTACATGCTGAATAACGTGACAAAGTTTGTTCATATGGATGCAAGACCCCCTGTATTTATCACAATGGATTTGTTTATAAGAAGTGATAAACTTTCCCACGCACTTACGCCTATAGTGTGAGACAGAGACTTCTAAACAGACAACTCACTAAAAAACTCTTCTATTCTATTGGACAGAGACCTGGGATTGTTTGTTCCAGCACTTCAGGACAGGTCAACAAGTGACAGGCTCCCATCGTATCTAGCGTTCAGTTTGGTTACAATGGGTAGCGGGATTTACCAAGATGATTAATAGTAGTATGAAACGTATAAAAAAGTCCATCACCTCAATGTTTGACTATTACCTCTAGAAGCCACTATGATTTTATACACCAAGAATAATTAGGTGATGGATTCAAAACCAATATTGTTACAATTTATGGATTTCACAAGTTGCCCTCTAGATCTCCGGAAAGTGGAGAGAGTTTTGAATTATTTTTTTTTTAATACAAAAATGTGAAGCTATCGTGTGGTCTATTGATCAATTTCGTACAGTTTTCTGTACATCATATAACTTAGATCTTTACCATCTTGTAGACATGTAAGTCAAAAGCTATATGTAAGTAATATACATGTTTTAATCTATGCCTTATTCTAATGAGAATACTGTATGTATATGGATCGATTATGTTGAAATCGAGAGACTTCACTTTGATTCTGAAATTCAGAAAGCTAGCCCCAAAAGTTTTACCAACAAAACTCCACTGAAGTGATCTACTACATTTTGACCAGGATCTCACAGCTGTTTGTGTAGCTATAGAGTTTTTTTTTTTACTTCTGACTACAACAGCTGACCGAACCTTTGAGCCAGCGGTGTTTGTAAGAAGGTTAAGATTTATACTTGGTTATCTTATCGATTGTTCAAGCAAGTCAAGTGAAATACCCCATGATACTCGATTAGGTGCTTTGTTATTCCACATATCCCAAAATTACTTATCTAATTGTATTATTGGATAACTATGAACTATTTATTTATTGGTAAAGAAATATTTTACAACCCATGTTTGACCATTTAAATTACTGAGTAACATTATTTTGTTCAGATCTTCAGTTGATGTAATTAATGAAGTTTATTTTATGCATTAGTTTTATTTCATTGCCGTGCAAAATCTTAAACAAATAAAACATAAAAAATACACACTTAGACTTTTAGAGAAGTTTGTAAAAAAGGGACAAGAAAACTAAATCCCAACATAAATTCTAGTTGGGCCCAATGTTACGTTAGGTTGAATCCACAGTGCGAGTTAATATTCACTATGATATTGATCTCATATAGGAATGTAGAGAATGATCACGCATTCATTTTGCATCTGTGTGATCAAGTTAAGCTTCACGAGGGATGAGACTATCATAGAGTAAGAATTTCAAGGCTTATGTGTATTATTGGTGTTTTAAGATCATAAAAACAATGGGAGGTATTTTTAGCAGGGCAAGATTTATTTCACTGGAATTTTCATTTTCATCGATAACAATTTAATGGTTCTAGAATAATTACTCATTCATTGGGCAGAGCTATGCTGAATGATAAAATGTTGTAACGGCTACTGCGAAGAATTAATCTTAATAAAACAATCTATAACATCTTTTGTGTCTGGATTGAGTAGTTTTGCCAGTTTTCCTGTGATACAATGTTATTCAATATTTAGGCTTATAGAACAGACTTTCCTGTGTTAGAGCCATTTTAAAATTTTACATTCATGTTTTAAATATTCCATTGTAAACGTATTATGTGTAAACATATCCAATTTACTCATTGTCACTTTGGCAAAAATAGTCTAGTAAGATTTAATTTTATAGTGTAGGCCTACAAAACGTTATTGCATTAATTTTAAAATTACCTAAATGGAAAGAGTACAAGTAGCCTAGCATTTTTTTGTATACTTTATGGATTATACATTAAACATTAATCTGTTATACACTAAAGATGGACGACTAAGTCACTTATCTTGCATCTAAGTAATACGACAAAATGGTTAGTTCCGTTTAAAGAATGTCCCGATTTAAATTAAATTTGAATAGCCTATTATATTGATTTACTTCTGTAAATATCACACTACAGGATTAAGTTTAGTTTTGGATCGTTAAAAAACCGGTTAAAGTTTAACTAAACGTTAAAATTTAACAGAAATTAAATTAGTGTTAACATTAAACACTAATTTTACTTGGCCTATAATTACACTTGGGTGGGTAAGACATAATTTAATATGTTTGTAATTGTAAGAAATACTAATAAGTATTGGTCTCACGTTTATAATCATAGTAATATCAGTATAAATTTTGATACAGATTGTGAATTGACTCGCAAAACTAATCTTAATTCACCAGCATATAGCGCTTATATGCACGATAGTTGTTTTTATTACGTATAAAATTAGCCTCCGAATACAGTCATTACGAGCGGTGTATCGGCTGTGAACGTCGTGTAAACTCATAACAACGGGTTCACCCGATCAGGCCTCTTTTATGATAAGTGATAATATTTTTGATCGCCTGAAAATGTTTTGTTTTGTTGCGCTTTTATCCGCTGTAAAAATTCCTGGCGGTCCCGGTAGATGGTGTTAGCTGTGCCGAGTGAGTATCGACTGCGGGGGCCGGCTCGCGCTCGAAGCGGATTGGTCCGAGTTGCCGCCAGCCGCGCCGCCATTGGTCGGTCGGTCGGCGCGAAGGTGAGAGGGGGGCTCTATAACGTTAAGGGGTTACTCGACTCGAGATAGCCCGCAGTACGTATACCCTTCACATACACAACGGCCATAAAGGCTTTAACAAGCGCATACAACTACCGAGGTGCGAGCGGGACATTTTTTAGGTTAGGTTTTCCGCGAGGACCGCACCGCGGCGCTCGGTCACGAGATGTGTCGTTACGGATGCTAGACCGATACCGTCATGAGCTCAAAGTTCATCATAGATAGTATGCTGCCTAAGTACCATCAGCAATACCAGCATCATCTACTCAACCCGGTAATAACGTCCTCGTCAACTGGTGATACTTCCGCGGTCAACTATTCCATCACGACCAACAACTCGTCATCATCGTCGTCGTCTCCACCGCCCAGTCTAGTGTCCTCCGCCTCCAGGATGTACCCGTACGTCGCGGCACATCACCACCATCAGCAACAAGCCGCAGCAGCCGCAGCCTTCGCCGGAGCAGCAGCTGCCACGGGGTCCATGGTCCCCGGAGCCTTCAGCACCCCTAGCAGTGCCGCCCTCGCTGCTGTCGTGGATGCCGCCGCCGCCGACAAGTCCTGTCGCTACACCGGCAACGTCCCTCCTCCGGACTCCATGGTCAACTATTCTCTACATCACCAGAACGGTTCTGCCGCTTCCTCCGTGTCCGCCGCCTCGGCCTCCATGGCTGCCGCCGCCCAGTTCTACCACCAGGCCGCTGCCGCCTCCGTCGCCGCCGACCCCCTCGGCTCCTGTACCACCCAGGTGGCCAACGCCGCTACCGGACAGCCCATGCCCGACATACCCCGCTACCCTTGGATGTCTATCACCGGTAAGTTTCGTCCCGACTTTTATTGCCCCGTAAAACACCCTCTTATGCCTTTATCGCCCATTATTGTCCTAATGGCCGTTAACCGGGCCGTTCCGTGTAATCGTTTTATTGCCCATTAATGACCTTGTTATTAGGTGATTATAATTAAACGGGCGTTTACATTAAATTTAAATGTTATCGCGTGTTTTATTGCACATTTAACTATAGGTTTACTTTAAAGTATCTAGTCCTGCTCCGATGAAGGAAACTCAAGCGATTGGTTTGTATTCTTGTGTTTATTCAAAACTCTTGTACGCAATCCCTGTTTCAAAAGACGCATTGTGTTGTCTCATGTTGATATATTTACTACGCATTTTTAAGACCAATAAACGTATTGTTGTTGATCACTCTATAGATGATGAGTCATTGCTAGCTTATAACATTTACACACCGACCCTAACAACCGTTTACAAACAATCGAGTCATTAATTGGCATTGACTAAGCCACCATTAGTGTCTTTAGAAAGAACACCCAGTCCAATATACATATTTTACAAATCTAAAGTTTTTTTTCAATATTCGATTTAAACAATCATCCACACCTGTGGTAGGGCAACATAAAGTTGAGATTCTTTGGAATTCAACTTAAACTTTTAAGTGCTAAAATGACCCAATTTATATATCTGGAAGTTGTAAACAGCACCGGAAGCAGTAACATTATCGGCCGGAAAGAACAGTGATATCGAGTTTGCCAATTCATTAGATAGGCCCATAGCTTGTTAATGGTCCATTAGGCTGTTTATAAGACCCGCTGCATAAACATTTACCCGTCAATGAATGTCTCCTTGAGTCTGTTTGTATTTCATGTCTGTGTTGAGTGTTATCCGCTGCAACTCTGTTGTGCCGCATGATCTGTTTTTGTTTTTCCTAACACATGGTTGCTTTCATGTCTTATAACATCCCAAATAGCCTACTTCGGACAGCTGCTTCCTAAACTTAACATTATGTTAGTGCCTGCACGTAGGAGTTTAGTTTGAATTGATTGTACAGTTAGTAACAGTTTTCGGGTTCGTCCTAAACTTAGTAAATATTTATTCAAATCACATTTATAAAATTGTGTTATGATAAATAATGTTATATTCGTGATATAAGCAATTATGTATTTGAATCTTGAACACATTGTTGTCTAAATTATACGGAATGATTTCAAATACTGTATTTGATAATCTAAAACGGATACATTGCACATAGCTCAAGCTTAAATCTAACAAAGACATTCACGCATTGGCCGTACTATTATTATTAAACACTTTAACATATTAAAAACACAATAAAGACTTAAATGTATAATAAATTTATAATCTATTCCTACAACTGTAAATACGATTCCAATAAGTTAACTTAAACCATTCCTAACTCTTCTAAAAAAAAATAACTATCCTACAGTATTATGTTTTGGATAACCTTTTTAAACTTGTTTTAAGTTTTACTTAAAAAAAAGGTTTTAACTTAGACAAATCAAAGATAGATTACTATTAGATATACCGGTAACACAAATTATGTGTAATCCGTTACAGTATGCAGCTTGTAAAACAGATCTGATATAGTTTTATTGACATGTAGATTTTACTACTCCAATTCATTGTTCGGGAAAATTCAAATTCTAAATACGCGCATTGTAAGATGGAATACACAACATGTCACGTCATCAAAATGTAACATCGACAATGTCCCTACAGTTTTTTTAGAACAATTGTAAAAGTCTAAATTTACTTATCTTTTAAATTAGGTACTTTTAAGTTTTATTTAAATCGGAATATTTTAACAGAATGTTCTTTTGCAATTGCATGTTGCCACAGCATACGCATTATATCTCCTGAGTGATGAATGAGATGTTTACGTGTTTGTACCTTTTTGCATGCGTTTGATGAATAGTGTATGCATTTTATACATTTTTTTACATATACAAACTTTTTAACCTTAGAATTCTATCTGCCTAGCGATACTTTTAAACAACCTTTTAAACTAGCCACTTTTACAAAAATTTAGATTAACTATAACCAATTACAAAAATATTTAGCTTATATTATTTTTATTTATTTAATAAATATTTTAAATAAAGGAGAATATAAAGGAATATAAGGGATAAATGTCTTTGGCCCTTTGATTCCTGCTTTTCCAGACATTAAACATTATTGAATAATTTAAATAGTTTTAAGTTAACCAAGCTTATTTTATTAAAGCTTTCGTAAATTCATTTTATGTTTTATTTGATTTTAAGCTTAAAATGGTAAGCAAGTATTAGCTGCACTCACGGCACCGTAGACGCGGTATGGCTCGGCGCGACGCGACGGCCGCGGCGGAGTGGCTTGGCCATTTTATCGGCTTGTTCATATAGCCTAAACAAAGTGGCATTTGTTTCAATTTAAAATTGCTTACTTACATTTAAGTGTTCATAAGGAACGCCTTTTGCTTATTTTGAGTGGCAGAGACTTTAACATTTTCGCTAGGCCTAAGTAATTACTCGATTTTAAAATACGACGCCCATTGATTGAAATAATCCCTCCTTATTAAGATTAGAAAAAATATTTTGTATGTCTGTAGTCCCTCTTAAAGTATTTAATCTTTAGGTTTTCGTTCTCGTCCTGCACGCGATACTAAGGGTAATACCTTTAACAATTCCAATTTACGCTTTACTAATAAAAAAAAACAACAGACACAGTCCAATATGAAATCTTCTAAGGATATTGATGGAACAGAGTTTAATCGACCACCAATCCTTAGAAGAGCTATTCGATGACTTTGCGATATACCACAATATATTTACAATATAAATAAAGGACAAAGTAATTGAGAATAAATTGTTACGCATGGACCAATGCATGAATAATTAATTCTGTGATATAATAAAAATAATTCTAATATAATAATTTTGCTAAGCAATTTTATAGCCTAAGCTTGTATTTTCATATGTGGTATTTACCCTTTAAAATATTTGCGCTTTAAAAGTAACATTATAATACAATCTTAGACTATTGACCTCATGGAGGATATCAAACTAACAAATCTGTTTAGTAATATATTTTTATTTGGAAATACTTAGCCAAACTTAAGTAACAATTAATGGTCATCTTTGCCATTTATAAAGCAACATTACAGATTTGACTAATCCAAACGACAAATCGGTTTAATTGAATTCATTATAGAAGTATATACTAAAAGTTTGATATTGTATTGGTCTATTGGTAACAGTGAGTAAAAAGATTACCTACTTGTTTCAAAGAGACGAAAAGGGAAACTAGAAACGCATTGTAAGTTTTACTTAAACAACTGTTTCGTTATTTAAGACGTTTTGTACAAGAATTCAAAATCATGAAATTTAGTCCTTGAAAAAAAAGGCCTACTGGTGGGTCTAAACCTAAATAAAACAATCAGTAACAACTTGAATTAGTCATACTTTACTTACTTGATTTATTAATCAAACAATGTTTTCATAAAGTTATACATTCCTTGTACGGAATGGAATCTTGAAAAGGCTAGCCCGGTTTGTATAAAAACAAACTGTCACTTTCAGTTTCAAAACTTTCACTTACTCTGCCCTGCTGGTCGAGCCCTTTAGGTCTGAAGAAAATAATCCTCTATGCATTTAGTACAACTACTATATCAATTTACGAAGAAATCTGGCAAATATTCACCTTCCAAGCATCTACCCAACTACTGTAGGCCTAGTCATAGTATGATATATTCCATATTAATAAACTTCATCTTTACCAGTATACCCCTTATAACCATTGACTGAATATTTAAATTATCATTTAATTAAAATATCGTAGTTTGATACTCTCTATCACTGCAAAACGGAAACAATTTCTCATAGGTTTCTAGAATGTTATATTTTGAAAAAGTGTTTCGATGTTGATTGACTTTTTTGTATCATTAGTTTTATACGTTAAAATACAATTGCAGTTTGACAACTTAGTTAATTTTTACCTTACTAATTTAAATACAGCAGTTTTATATAATAATGCCACTCTTGTATAACATTAATATTTTAATAAGGTTTAAAAATTTTATGGGCAAAGTATCGGTACCATAATTTGACGGTTTAAACTGTATATTGTATTTGATTTTCCCTTTTAGAACATTTAGTATAAACAACTGAATTTGACCGTCTGTTTAATTTTGTTCGTATGGTAAAGAAAACTAAGGTTTTTTAACTTCAAGACAAATTCTATTTGTTTGTTTTTTATCGAATGTTCTGATATTGAAGAGGCTATTTAAATATATTTTTTATTTACGTCACCAATACTTTTATTTATTTTCTTACAAGCAAGTTAATATAGAATTATATTTATACGAATAATTAACTATCAGTAGGGAATTAAACTTTAAAATCAAACAAAATAACAGGAAAAATGTAACCATTGGAACGTGAACCTAATATTTTCGTTCACACGCATTCTGATTTGTAAATCAACATATTCTGCTATTAAGCCAGCGGCATGGTTTTAAATAATAGTCAGGAATATAGCTTGTATATGCTTAAAACTACACTCTTCCAAACACTGATAGGTTTACTTCAATAACATAATTTGAACAAGACGCAATGGCACACCTTGCAACTGGGGCCTATATTGAATAGCAACATCTCTAATAATTTTACTTCCTGTAACCATTCTTTAGGTAACTCAAACAACGAAATTTAATGTAAATTACTTTCAGTGTACCAAATTACCCACTTAGATTAAAAAAGTAAACCCCGCTATTCAAAAATATGAGTTATGTTAAACCACACAAATTTATTCAAATTTAGTAGGCATTACTCCGCACTGATCCCAATTTTTTAAGATAAGTAGCTTATTTACTTATTATTTTCATTGGAAATATCCAGTAATATAATAGGTTAACTTAATTGTTGTTGCTATACCAATCGATTCAACTGATTAAGGGAAAACTTAGTGTTTTTATTGCACTTTGTATTAGTATGTCTCAGTTTTTTTTATCAAATAAATAAATAAAAA